CTGCCTTGCCCATTCGCTCACCACAGGACTTGTGCTGCATGGTCGTAGGGTCCCGCTCCGTGCTGTGCGTGGGAGGGCGCTTCACCCACGGCCTTCTCCGGAACTGGCGTGGGCAGTGGGGAGGCAGCATAGAGAGCAACAGCCCAGCCCCTGCCACTAGCTTGACACCCTTTAATCATCGGGGGGGGGGCCCTGCTGCTGGAGGATCCAGGAACCAGTAGCTAGGCACCTCTGCCTCAGCATGTCCGTTCCCGTCTCCATCCATTCCAGCACCCTTGCCTCCCCGGCGGATTAGCCACCAGCGTGCTAACGGGGCCAGGATCTACCAAGACAGCGGGCTGGGTTCTGGGCTGTTTGCTGGGCCTGCGAGGAGGCCTCGTGCCGCAGAAGCGCAGTGGCGGGAGCGGAGGCCGTCCGCACGTCTGAACAACACGCTGTGGGTTCCTTCCAAGGTGCACAGCTGAACGTGGAGTCAAGGCAGCGTTGCTGCCTTCCGACGGCGGGGAAAGGCTGCGTCGAGCCGCCTTCGCTCCGGTAAAACAAGCCCAGCAGGTTTCTTTACCTTGGCAAATTGTCCAGCTGTTCCCTTTCCTTCCCCATCGCACAGCACAGCCCTGCATTGCCGCGCTGTCTGCTCGCGGCTGCTGCCTTGCACATCCGGTTCCAGATGTGTGTGGCCTAGGCTAATGCTCTAGTATAGACCAGTGGTGCCGCCTCTTTGCATTCGCGACCCCCAGAGCCGGGAACGTTTTTGTTGAGCAAAAAAAAAAAACCTGCTGGGAACATTGTATTGTGGCCCCTTTAATTTAAAGCGCCAGTCCGCTCCCCTGCCACGCCGCCTGCCCCTGCTGCGTGTACGTCGGGCACCGAGCCGGGAAACGAAAATGCCGGCCGGCCCAGATCTAAGTGCTGGAACCCCCCGTTGGGGGTCGCGACCCACAGGTTGTGCATCACTGGTATAGACGATGTGCAATTCCCCCCACCCCCCAGTACATTTCGTAGCAGGCTGGCCACCAGCCCTGTTCAGTCCCAGCTCGTGCTGGTTCCAGGACCTACCCCCACTGCAGCTCGGCATTTCAAGTGTATTAGGCAGGCACGTTCTGGCTTGTAGGAGCTCAGACCCCCCATCCCCAGGCAGGGCTTGCTGCCTCCCATGCTGCTGTCTCCTGTATCAGAGGCAGCAGTGCAGGGTGGCAGGCAGCCGGTCCATGAGGGGAGCTGGTTTTTGAAGACTCCCCTCGCGAACTAGCTCCCGCCTGGCACCCGATAGGCAGGAGCACAGGGTGGCAGGGGCCCCCAGGGACTATAGACGAGGCGACTAACCGGTAAGAATTCATGAGGGTCATCGACCATTGAGTGAACCGATACTTCACGTCCCTGGCCCGACCTGGAGGTTCTTCAGAGCAAGGCTCCTTGGGTTGCTGTTTGGCCTTGGCCATGGCCGGGATCCCGCTGGGAGGGACTCGCTGCGTGCGCTGGTGGAGCCTTGCCGTGGGCATGTGTGCGTGGACTGGCGTTTGCTTTCGCCCCCTTTTCTTAGCGCTGCTGGGCGCTCTGCTGACTCAGGGCGGCCTGTCCAGGGCTGACTTGCCAACCGTTGGCCTCTACCCTGGAGCTGGCTCTCCCCAGCCAAGCTTTGGCCAGGCTGGGAGGAGAGCGTGCTTTGGGAGAGTGGGGTGGGGCACTATTTGAAACCCAAGGGGGTGGGCACCCACTGAGTCGGGAGGGGAAGAGCCCCTCTGTGAGCCCTTTCGGGCAGAACCTGGCCCCACCCTCTCACCTGCTTGGAAGGCAGGAGGCGTGGCCAGGGCTATAAAGAGCCAGCCTAGAGCTCAGTAGGGGTCCAGCACGCAGAGGAGGCAGGTGTCTGCTCTGTGCTTCCGCACCTGCCCGAGACTGAGGAGTGGCCTGGACTGGCAGGCCCCGGTGGCCCTGCCAGAGACCCAGGTAACCACGGAGGGGGGAATGGAAGTAGCCCGGGGACAGCTGGCCATGGGTTAGCAGGGTCACAGCACGGTCAGTGTGTTGCGGTCTGGAGCTCTGCTGCCGTTAGGGCCCTGGGCTGGGACGCAGTGGAGTGGGCGGGCCTGAGTCCCCCCTGCCACCCAACCCCTGGGGGGCAGTCTTGCCCCTTCGCTGCCTCAGGAGAGCTGCCTAGTACCTTGGATCCCCCCCCTCACTGACCTGGGAGGGGAAGAGCCCCGGATGCCTACTGAGAGGAGAAGGGAACCAGTAAACAGCAAACCTCCCTTCACTCGGTGTTGGGTGCCCTTCTGTGCCTCAGTTTCCCCATCTAGGTATGGCTGATCCCAGCTTGTAAAGCACATTGGGATCCAGAGGCAACAAGTGCAGCCAAGTTACCACTCCTCCTCCCCCCGAGGATGACCTGATGTTTCGTGGGGCTTTCCCCAGGTGTGGGAACAGGGATTTCTGTGTCTCGCTCTCTCCGCCCTCAGATCCTTGGCTGGGGGGGGGCGAAAGCTCCAGGAAATGGCCTGCTACAGCCTGTCTGGTCAGTTTCCCCTCTAGGCCGGTGCTCCCCGTCCCGCTCACGGCTGTTTTCCGGTCCTGTGGGTGGTGCATCCTGTTACTGCCTTGGGACACAGCCCAGCCTAGGCCCAGCACCCTGACGTTTCCCTCTCGTCCAGGCCGGCTGGCGGGAGGGGCTGCTGCTGGTGTTTGGGAGAGCTGGGCAGCTTCCCTGGGAAGGGGGAGGGAAGGTGAGAGGAGCCCCCTGAAGTAACTTCCCTGCCTTTCCCTCTTAGCTCAGTGGGGACTCGGCGCAGGCCTGCGTGGGGCCGAGCACTCCGGTGGGAGCAGGGAAGCCCCAGGCAGGGAGAAGGGGTTGTGAGATAGATGGCAGGTGCAGGAGGGGAGGGGGGCTCTCTTGGTTCCTCGCCGTGCACAGGGCCTGCCGAAGTCAGGAGCCAGTGGCTGGCCCTCGGCTGGGGGGTCCGCTGTGGGCTCGTGGTGGCGCGGGGGGCTCCCCCGGCCGCCTGCAGGGAGGGGTGAGCGGGGGCTGCGCTCTGCCTTCCCCTGAGAGCAGCCTGCTCGCCACCAGGTGCTGACTGGCTGGCCAGGCAGAGGCTGGGACGGCTCCGGGCCTGGGGGCAGGACCCTCCTGCTGTTCCTCCCTGATACAGCAGCAGTCTAGCAACCTGCCCATGCTGGGAGTGAGTCCCCCCACCTGGATCCCTGCCCGGGAGCCACACCCTGGCTGGCTCTCCCATCATGCAGCCACCGAAACGCCCTTTTCCTAGCAGCGTCCCAGCATCGGCCTGCCTCCGTGCAGCGACGGCCCTTTGCTCTTCGGGCTAAAGGGCTCTGAAAATGGTCTGTGCACAAAGTAGCAATTGGCCAGCTGGCCCTCTTCCCCTCCTCCCCCCCCCCTTCCCGCCCCCTTTTCTTTTCTCAACTAGTCAAAAAATTATCCAATATGCAAATGCTTACCCTGTAGTCGACTAGTCTGTTACATTCTTATCTGCTGCAGTGCCGCCTGGGACGCTGGAGAGGCACGCAGCGGGATAGAGCTTGAGCGGAGAGGCACCAGGCGGGGGGTGCTCTCACTGCCCTCCATTGGGGGTGAACATGGGCTGAGCCAGGTTTGTGTCTGCCCCGACCCACAGGGCAGAGCTTGGGCGGCTGCGGGGCCGTGAGAACTGCTGCGTGGCACAGACCCTGCTCCCGTGCCTGCTGGGCCAGCCATGCCCCGCCTGCGGAGCCAGATCCTGCCCTGGGCACTGCTGGGCGCGCTGACCCTGGGCCTTCTGTACCAAGCCAGGACCTGCAGCCGG